CTTCATATGCCAAACTTTTTTTGCACAGTTAAAGCCCCTTGTGACTGGGGGGGGGGGGGATCAGCCTTTCATTGAATTAGTGAGAACTAGCCTGGATTAACAAGTACAACTTGATCAAATAGAGCAGGTTAAGAAGATGCAGGCAGCCTGGTCTTCTAGGGCACTGGGGCTGCTCCACTTTGCGGTCCTTGTTTTGGATTTAAATTAGTCGTCCCTGTACTACCACCTTCAACACATGCACATACAGTGGGCTCTTGATATATGGAGCTTTGATCTATGGAGCTGGCTTTGAGTCACTAACTCACACCCAGTGTTCACACCACACTAAATGCTTACGCTATCTTTGAACAAGCCAGCACTGGAGGGTAGAATCATGTTCAGACTAATTTTCTTCACACCTGGTGCTCTGCCCTGAAGTGCTTACAGTCTAACGGCACCATGGATGAATAAACACAGCTGAGTGCGTGGGATAGGCGAGCTTTGGGAAACCTTTGCACATGGGGCTGTTCCAGACATAGGGGAAGGCGAGACAGCATGAACTAAAGCATACGCGGAGAGCGGTGGAAGTAGACAGAGGGAATGGCCAGGACAGGAGCACAGGTGGTGCGAATAGTGCAGGAGACTGTTTTGCCATAAGCTGCTTTATTTAAGACAGTAATTTGAGCGGCTACAACATGCTTCCCTGTAATCTCCCTGTAATTGTATTCAAGCTGTAACAAGCCATGGTAGGAGGTACATGTCAGCAGCACTGGCAAGAGCAATCTGGGTTTGGAGGAAGGAGATAAAGCCCTTGATCATGCAGGCTGATCTACATGAGGCCCACTGACTCCCAAGGAACCCTACCTGCATGGATCGAGACAGCTTCGCTGCTAATGGGATCCCCCCAGGGATGCAAGACTGCTGTGCCTCCTTAACTCTCTCCAGCCTGGGCTGCCTCTCAATGCCTTGCTAGTGACCAGCAGCAAGCCCCTCCAGGTGTGTGATCACTCAGCACAAAAGCATGTGGAGCCCCCACCCCTGGCTAGATTGCATGAATGCTCCCAGAGCCACTCATGTATCAGACAGAGAAAGGCACCAGAGGCACATCCTCCCAGCACTGTACCCCAGGAATAGACAGTCTTGCCCTGCTCAAGATGGGCAGTGCAGATTTATGAATCGGTTCACCACTTCAAGAATGGAAAGTGGACATACACCAGCCCTGAGCAGATTTGCCCACACTTCATACAAACTTACAGGTAAAGACAAGCAGTAAAACCAAGTGTATTGACCACAAGAGTTAGATTTTAAGTGATAGGCAAAAAGTCAGAGTTAGTTACCAAAAGAAATAAAACAAACCATGCAGTCTAAACTCTCAACCCTATTAGACTGGGCAGCAACGAGACGAAGCAGTTTTTCCTCACTCCACTGGATATTGCAATCCTTAATATACAGACTTGTTCCTTAAACTTGGGCCAATCTCCTCTGCTGGGGTCTTCAGTGTCTTGGTTGCTCGCAGTGTAGGTTGGGGCAGGAGAAGGGCCCAGTATGTGTCCACTCTGTTTCATACCCTCAGTCCATGTGCTTGGAAAACAAGTTCAGGCATGTCTGGGCATTGCGGAGTCTCCAGACAAGATTGAGCAATCCTCTAGTGTGGCCTCATGCAGGGAGTCACTGAATTGTAGCGGCCTTGATGGACAATGGTTGATGGGTTGTTTGAAACCCTGCCTGGCTGTTGGTTACTTTCCTTGCTGTTATCTCTGGGGAGCTAATATCTGGCTGATTCCCCAACTTGTAGCCTGTTTTAGTGACAACCAAACAATTCTCATAACTTCATATGCATTAATGGTATACATATGTGGATAGAGAAATTACTTTCAGCAGGTCATAACCTTTCCCTAGATAGCTTACAAGGCATGCTTTATATGCAAGATCACAATTATATAAAAAATTAGGAATATGGGGTTACAGGATGCTCCCCCAAGGTAAAGCATGTCACAGGTATATCTGGGAAAGGGCACTGCACTCTCTACTAAGGGGGTGGGCAGAGGGAACCTTACAGCTTGTTAAGTTATTGACTGTCAGGGACTCAACTGATATTGAGAGGACATTGATTGTGGTTTCCTCTGTTTGAAAATTGTCAAGTCCTATTTGGCACAAGATCATCAAATGGGCATCAGAGCATCAGCTTTGGTGTTTCCCCTCCAGTGGGGAGTTAAGACACTACTCAGTCAGGCATAAGGGAGGAAGAGAAAGGATAAGCTACACAACTTCACTTGTTTGTCCTCAGACAAGCAAAAACTTCCTTCAAAATAAGGAAGAGGAGGAGGGTCTATTAAGTAACATGGCTCAGACAGCAGAAAGCAACAAGATTTTAGCTATTCTAATTGGAGAAGTACTTCCACCAGATCCAGATTACACAGAGCCTTGCTTCCTCTGACTGTAACCCATGTCCCAACCTACCATCAAAGGTGACATGTCTAGTTACCAGGTGGACTCCAACAAGAATGTTCAAAGTCTGGTGTTTCTTTATAAGCATGCATCAAAAGAAAGGATCATAGAGAGGGGGACAAAGGAAAGATGGCTTGGCTGAATATGCCTCTGCTATATTATGGAGACCAGATTTTGGTGTTCTAAGAAGCATTTCCAGGGCTTTTAATGAGAGATTTTACAAAGCCTTAACTCTCAATAGTCCTGAGACAGGCAAATTGTCTTGAGAGATTTGCTGTAGGCCAGCATCTATGTATTAAAATACATATGAAGATAAGGTCCTTGCCCCAAAGATTTTACAAGCCCCAGGCACACAATGCTCAAACTGAAGTGGGATTGGGGATGGAATTTTGCTCTGCTGGGTCAGTTAAAATAAACCCCATCTTATGGGGAGATCAGGGTCAACAAGCAGCCTCTCAACAAGTAAAGTTGGATTTATGTTAAGAGTATCACTTTTGATATTTGATTTGGTGCATGTTCAATGGTTAGTTTCACAGGGGGGAGGGATAGCTCAGTGGTTTGAGCATTGGCCTGCTAAACCCAGCATTGTGAGCCCAACCCGGGGGAGAGGGTGGGGGGCATTTTGGGATGTGGGGCAAAAATCTGTCTGGGGATTGGTCCTGCTTTGAGCAGGGGGTTGGACTAGATGACCTCCTGAGGTCCCTTCCAACCCTGATATTCTATTTGTTTCCTTCCTTTGTAAATGGGTTTAAATTCCATTCAAATGATTAAGTAACTCAAGACACTTATGGAACCAGATTAAAGTTGTTAATAATCAGTTAAGGAATTTCAGCATCTATCCTGCTTTGTGCAGTTTTGTTCCATGACTAGTATAGTCTTGAAAAAGGAAAGCCACGTGAACGGCTTAGAACTCTGCATCCCATTGATAATTGTACATGATGTCCATTACTAAACCGGACTTAAGATGCTCTGATTATCTGCAGCAGAGTCATTTAAGAACACCAGCAGCATTTTGCAGTCAATATGTGAACAGCTTTAAAGGTACCCCACTTTTGCCCCACCAATGCCCATTCACTGTGGTCCCCATCAGGCACAGGGCTGGCCACAGCATCTTGGGAAGGCTCATGCTAACTCAGTGGGCTCATTTTATAGGGGGTGGGACAGAGGAGGTCTTTGGACCACCATCAGCCTCTGAAGGGGCACAGAAGCAAAGCACAGCTGTTCTGAAGGAAGAACCTTCTGATCAACAGGGATATGCCCTCCACCAGGTCCCCAGCCAATGGAAGGCTGTGCACATTTGACAAATGGCATTCAGATTCTTCCAGTCCCTCCACTATAGAATCCAGAGTCACCTGCAATATTAAGGTAAGTGCTAGGGTCAGCCA